TTTTTTTTTTTTTTTTTTTGTAGCTGTCACGCATCAGCCAGAAATACGTGGTGACAGCCAGGACGATGGCCAGGACTGGGAAAGAGCATCTGTATACTGAAAACAAAGATGACCTTTTCCATTAGCACAAAGGCTCCTGGAGCCAGAGTTCTCAAATCTCTTCCTCCTAGACACTAGCCTCTGCTCTATGGTTGAATAACCTTGACCAGACCTTGACCAGACCTTGACATGCATCTGTGTCTGTTTCTGTTCTGCTTGTTTGTTTATGTTGTTTTTTACATTCAACTGTTGATAAATATGTATTTATTGCCATTTGACTGTTCATGTTTTAAATGATTTTTTTCTCCTTCTTAAAGAAGACCCTTTAACTTTCCATGTACTACTGATTTGGTGGTGATGAAGAACTTGAGCTATTTTTTGTCAAGGAAGCTCTTTATCTGTCTTTCAATTCTAAGTGATAGCTTTGCTGGGTAGAGTGATCTTGGTTGTAGGTGCTTGCTTTTCATCACTTTGAATATTTCTTACCAGACCTTTTTGGCCTGCAAAGTTTCTGCTGAGAAGTCAGCTGACAGTCTTATGGGAGCTCCCTGGTAGAAAACTATTTTTCTCTTGCTGCTTTTAAGATTCTCTCTCTGTTTTTAACCTTCATATTGTCATTTTAATTATGATGTGTCTTGGTGTGGGCCTCTTTGGCTTCATCTTGTTTAGGACTCTCTGCAATTTCTGGACTTGCATGTCTATTTCCTTTACCAGGTTAGGGACGTTTTTCATCATTTTTTAAAAACAGGTTTTCTATTTCTTGTTCTCTCCTCATTCTGGTTGTCCCTATGATGTGAATGTTGCTACACTTAAAGTTGTCCCAGAAGCTTCTTACACTAACCCTATTTTTTTAATTCTTTTTTCTTTTTGCTGCTCTGACTGGGTGTTTTTTGCTTATCTTCCAAATCTCTGATTTGAACTACATGTTTCTTGAGTGAATAAATGAATGAATGACTAGATGGGCAGTCTGCCTTAAACTTTTATCTCTAAGGAGACAGAAAATTACTTGAAATACCTTTCTTCTGGGACCTACTGAGGGCCAACAGGTTGCTTAAGACCCACTATACCTTTTGCCTTTGCCGGCGGATCCTTTGGTCGGAGGTGAAACAGACGGGCAGAATCTGATCCGGGCCGTCTCAGGCTGCTTTCTGGAGGTGGATTTCCGGTGGCCATGTGACTCAGCCCCGGCCAGGGGAGTGTCAGGAGATGTCTGTCCTGGTCGAGGGAAATCTGCCGGGAACTTCTGCTTTCCTGGACGGGATCTCGTCTTTTCACTGCAGGATGTCAGTGAGTCCGGGTGTGGTGACCAGACCTCTGAGGTGAAGCGGGTGCGCACGGCGGAGCTGGATGAACGCACTCTCGGGGGAGGGGGTACAGCCAGGGATGGCTGGCGGGAGCCTGGAGCTGCCTCGGCTCGGCGTGTCCTGTGACCCGAGGTAATAACTCTCCTGATGGACGGAGGCAGTGAGCTGTCTACATATATTTTACATCACAGCCAACACACACACACACACACACACACACACACACATTCTATACAAAAAAACGCAAAAGTAGTTCACAACACAATGCCCCTTCTGTTACGTGCAAGGTATTTTTCCTTTGCCTCCCATTTTGTTATTTGCATCTTTAAAAACTGAGCCACCCTACAATGATTTCATTACCTAAAATATGCATGTGACCTGCAGAGTAAAAAACACTGGGGGTTTTCTGGTACGTTTTCCTGCAGACTGTAGAGTCAGACTGCCCGGGCTGGTACCCCAGTTTGGCCAGTTACTAGCTTTGTCGCATTGGATGAGTTTCTCAACCTCCCTGTGATTTCATTTTTGGATAAAAATTGCCCACCTCCTAAGGTTGCTTTAAGGGTTATAGGAGTTAATACACATAAACCGCTTGAAGCCATCGGGAGGCCCAAACAGAAGACTGATGGGATCTCACACACACGAGGAAGGCAGGGTCCCCGTCCCCCAGAGCTGACAGTCTGGTGGGAACGATGTCACAACACGGAGGAGCTGGGAGTCAGGGAGACACAGAGCAGTCCAGGAACACGAAGGAGAAATACACCCCGGCAGGCAGAATCGAATCTAATTTCCAAGAGTCAGCCCTAGAAGACACAATGAATTGTGAAAATTCCACTTACTTCCTTTTATTTTAATGAATAGACCAATTCTTTGAGCAATCTTAGCGTTACAGAAAAATGGACTGCAAAGCAGAGAGACTTCCCATGTGCTCCCTCCTCCTCACACGCAGTTTTCCCTGTTGTTAACGCCTGTCATGTACGTGGTGCGTTTGTTGTAATTGGTAAGTCAACATTGATACACATTTATTAACTACAGTCCAAGGTTTGCACTAGGATCACTTGCTGTCTCACACATTCCGTGGGTTTTGACAAACGGACAGTGACGCAACTCACCATTGGTGTCATGTGGATGGTCTCCGTGTTCTGAAAATCCCCTGGGCTCTGCCCACTCTCTCCTCCCTCCTTCCCTGGCAGCCACCACTGGCCCATCCTTTCACGGTCTCCACGGTTTGCCTTTTCCAGAATTCCTCAGAATTGGAATCATACACTACATAGACTTTTTAGATTGGCTTCTCTCATTTAATATCTACTTACTTAAAAAAAAACAACTTCTCTAAATACATTCAGAAGAAAAGAAACAGATAGAATTTTTTTATGTCTTTTTGGCATGATTCAAGGCTCTGAGCCACCAACCAGCATAACCTATTTCCCCGCAAGCATGTGCTTAATAAAACTCGCTGGGTAGATGTGAATAAACCCCAGCATCAGGACCACCAGCCACATCAGCACATGGTCAGCAGGTAACTGTTGAGCTGAACTGCAGTTCTGACACCTTCAAAAGGCGTTTCCCAGTTCTCCTTGGCCATTCAGTTAATAGGAATGGGTAGCTGTCATGGATTGAGCTCTTTTTACGTCCAGGCTCTACGCTGAGCATCTTGTTTAGTTTCAAATCAGCGTTACCAATAATTCTTTGAGCAGGTGTTACTGTCCCCCTTTTACGGATGAAGAAACCGGCTCAGAGATGTTAAGAAACTCGCCCGGAGTCACAAAGCAGCTGAAGTGAATCTTTAATTCATTCCCAGATGGGAACCTTACCTCCAGGCCCTTGGGGGCACCGCTGATGGGTCCACCAGCAGCTGCTGCAGCACCTTCTGTGGGTCGCCAAGGGGCCCGGCACTCAGAGTCCTGTTCCCCTGTACCACTCCCAGCACTGTGGGTTTTCCTCGCCCAACCAAGGAGAACTTAAAAACCACCCAGTAGTCCCAGGGCCACAGGAATTGACCTTTCAGAATCAGGGTCTGGTCTGACACTCTGGATGGGGAAAACAAGGTTTGCACATTGATGCTGAGGTCATTCTAGATGAATTCTCCATCCTATACCTTTTCTTGCAAGGTAGTGCATCTTCTATCACCTTTCTGATTTTTCAAACGGTAACCTTGTACAACACTTCTAGTGAGATGTCTTCCATGTGATTTCGAGTTGACTAATTTGAGTTGAAATTCTCTTCTCCTTGCCTGGATTGCGATGAAACTTCATTGCCAGCAATGAAATCTCTTGGTTTCACACTCTCTCTGTGCCCCTGCACCTCGTTTGTTTCACTGACCATCATATTCTGGCCATTTATTGATAGAAAGGATCTTGAACTGTAGAAGTCAAACCAGAAGGGACCGCCTGGGAGGCGGCCCTGTGCCCCAGGCGGTCCCTGCGCAGTGCTGGCACGGCCGCCGGCACGACCTCCGCACGGGGAAAAGCCCGCCGTGACAACTGGGAGTTTGCTGGTCCCTGGCCTCCCTGCCGGCGCGTGAAGCCTCGTCATCACACAGCCAGTTAGTGGATGTTGGGGCCAGAGCCCAGGAGACACCTCTTGTCTTCTCCTTTTCCCTCTTTTCACTGAATGTACGCAGATAAGTGAGAGCAGCGAGCCCTCAGCACAGCTCTAGAACCCAGAGATCAGTACGTACTTGCTCATTGGCCCATTGAGGACATTGGCCCCCAGGGGTCCACATTCACTCTAATAACAGAGGCCAAGAAGGTACGACCCTCACACCCCCATGACTCCCCACTACCCCCACCCCTGCCCTGCCCAGGAAGGAGCTGCCCTGAACAGCCTTGTCAGTCAAAAGTCAGAAGGGCCGTGTGCCCAGGACCACAGTCATAGGGAAATGACGAAAGGTTTGAAAGAGAAGTGTGTGGGGAAAGGGGGAAGGTCACGGAGGGCAGGGATCTGGAGGGAGGGGGGAGAGATGGCTGGGTGGGGTGGCCGGCGGTGGGGCTGGCAGCAGGCTCACAACCAGTGGGGCCCGCTGGGGCCTCAGGGTCTGCTTGCCCTTCTTGCCTCTGGCCCCTGCAGACGATGTTATCCGGTCTTACGCCTTGGTCCCGTGTGAAGAGATGGGTACACATAAGTGTGTGTGTGTACATACACACTCACATAGGTGCCCGTGTGTCTATGCATCCTACATCAAATTGACACCTGTCCCCAAACTGAGCCCTGAGCCACCCAGACTCTGTGCCCCTGGGAGCTGGCACTCCGGGAATTATGCTCCGACTGGAGGGTAATTCAGCCTGCGTGGATGCCCTTAGCAGACTTCTTTCACGGCCGAAAAGGGCCACAGCCTAGTTCTCTGCTCAATTACACCTTACTCTCTAACATGTCTTCACGCGGCTGTCATTTCCTGAGGGTCGCCTGTGTCCCCACCACACAACCTTGAACCTGGCTCCGAGGAGGCACCGTCTCAGCTCTTAGGGGAGTTCTCACAGCCAGTGTGGCTCTTGTGAAAACCAAGGGAGACTTTACTTATGAAAGCGCTCTGAACAGTCAGCGTCTCTGATCTAACCTCATTGCCGTACACATCAGTGGCGTGTGTGACAGAGCCCATTGGTGTCCTTACCACTGAGAGGAAGCGGAACTCGGTACACAGCACCTGTGGGACCGCATGGAGGGTCTGAGGTCTGAGCAGCAATCGAGTGATCAAGGCGTGTGAGAAACCATGAGCCTCAGGTTCCCAGGGTGAGTGGGGCTGCGCAATTCAATACGGTTTCATTTTGCTCTCTTCATGGTTTTCTCCAATTTTCATAATGGTCAAAGGAAACAAATGCAAGCTGGTGTAGTTTTTTTATCTCCAGGGGCCCAGATACCAGTCCCCTGCCTATCAGGAAGCTGAAAATCTGAGTTGCTGAGAGGCCTGGTTGCAGGAGACCTGGGGGCTGGAGGAGGGGCTGAGGTTGTTTACCCGCCAGTTCTGGGGAAGGAGGCGGAGCCATCACCCACAGCACTAACCGGAGGAAACTGCCTATTCCCCAAGGTCATTGCGAAGCTTCCTGCCCAGGCACCTGTTGCCTCAGTTCACTGACTTAGGTTACCTTGACCTCGGAGTTTTTCCATAGATATCCACAGGAAGTTTGGGAAAGGCCAGCCTCCTACCTCCCAGCTCAAACTTGAACTTTTCATGTGTCCTTGGGGGAGGCTGCAAGGAGAAAGAGCATGAGGCTTTGTTGTTGTTGTTGTTGTTGTTGTAAATCCTCACCTGAGGTTATATTTATTGATTTTAGAGAGAGGAAGGAGAGAGAGCAAAACATCAAACCCACAGCCTAGGTATGTACCCTGACCAGGAATCGAACCTACAACCTTTTGGTGTATGGGGAGACCCTACAACCATCCCTGGCCAGAGCAGCACCAAGCTTTTGAATCCCTGCACTTAAATCCCGGCTCTGCCGGGATTGACAGCTGCATGACCCCTTCCTTGTAGAATGAGGAGAGGGCATCAGAACCACAAGCTCTGAGGGTTCCGTAACTTTCTCTCCCATCCGTTTTAATATTTCCCCTCTCCTTCCCAAATCCCACAGTCCCTCTGCCCCTACTCTTGTACAGCCAGCCAGAACTCAAAATTCTTCATTTATTTCACAAAGCGGTGTATTGCTCTCTAAACCGGATCCCGGGACCTAACTTTGCAGGACAGAGACCACGTGTTTGCTAACGACGATCACAACGTGTCTTCTCCAAGAGGAATCTGCCTCCCGCTTTAAGACAACATGCACTTTTTTCTCACGTCTGTATTGGTCCTTCGCTCCACAGTCCCCGAGTTTCTCAAGATAACCTGAAAGGGATGAGACAGCCAAACTGGCCTGCCGTCTTCTACCGGTTTCGCGAGTCCCCGGGGCGTTGCTCTGCTCGCAGACCACTGGTAAAGCGTCTGAAACCACCGGTGCCCTCCCAACCCTGTTCCCTTCCGTGTCCCTGCTGTGTCTTTCTTTCGGTCCGTTTACTCGTGCAGTCTCCCAAAGCCGGCACGCCGTGCCGACATCGGAGCAGCACAAGTTTAGTACACGCACCTGCCTAACTTTGGGTGGGGAGGGATTGTTTTGGAGCCAAATGGCAAAGAGCAGGCCGTGGATGAAAGCGTCCGTCACCAACCCAGCATTCTTCCCCTGGTGAGCTCTGCAGGTGGACCCTCGATGCATTCAGCCGCCAGCAGAAATCCTTTGACTTGGGGGAGGGAAGTCCCCCTGCTCTGATCACCAGGAATGAATTGTGATCCACCTGGACCACACAGAGCCCTCTCCTTCTCCCGAGGCTGGCTACGTGAGCCCGTGAGATGTGACGGAAGTTTGCTGGATGTCGCTCCCGGGAAAGCTTTTGCTTTCTTGGGGAGAAAGAAGCAGACGCCACCGGCAGGCCCTCGTCCGTCTCTTTGCCATTTCGGCTTCCCTGGAATATGACATTGCGCCCATTTTTCTCTTCAGATTTTCACGGTTCCCTTAAAATCCTCTCACCTACTTATAACAGTGGCTGTGTCTTGTCTGTTGATCTCTGTCATTTCTACGCTTGCTGTTGACACTTTTTTTCTCCTGGGTATGAGTCACATTTCCTGTTTCTTTGGCATGTCTGGTGATGTTTTACTGGAGCCTGAACATCGCCACCGTGGTCGAATGTTTAGATTGTGGCGGCAGGCAGCTCATTTGCTCGCAGACCGGCCTGAGCGTTGTGAAGTTCATGGGCAAGCTTCGTCAGGGGAGGGAGGTCCAGAGTTCCCTTCAGGGCCGGGGTGCCCTTTCATAAGGATTGAACCTCGTGAGGTCCCCATGTAATGTCCCAGCTGCTCCCCCAAGGCTTTCTTCTCCGGCCAGCCTTACAGCCAGTGTCTCCCCGCGCCGTGCAGGCTCCAGTGTTTGCTCGGCTCCCAGCTCTCCGGTGGCGTGGTCTTCCTCCGTCACCGTTCTTCGACCGTTTTTACACTGAGCCAAAGACCCGAGGGAGCCCCACCGGGTTTCTGAAGCCCCCTTTTCTGTGTGGCTCACTTATCTCCGGAATGTTGTTGCTCAACTTCCACCCATCCCAGCCCCTTCCAAGTTTCGTCCTCTCGTCTCACGGAGCCCCCACCCCCCGCCCCCTGCGCTCGCTCGCGGTGCAGTCTGGGAATTGCCCGGGGGCCAAACTCTGGGGTAACGGCAGGGCTCCCTCCTCCCATTTGCTTTCCTCCTCTCTGGGGTCACGGTGCTGCACTGCGCTGCCCTGCACGGTGCCTCCTGTGCAAAAACAGTGGTTTCACATATTTAATCGACTTTTCTCATTTATGGCATGAGGGTTCCTCAGCTGTAACTGGAACTGGCCTCAAACACTGCTCAAACGTATAGCACATTTCAGCCCCCACGCTGGTGCCTCGGGTGTGAACTTGAGTGTGAGTTCATCGCCATGTGGTAGAGGAACCGAAACGCAGAGTGGGGAAATCCTTGGGACTGGGAGTCGTGTCCAGGTATTTCACATTCTCAGGCTGTTCTTTGTTTCATTTCATTTTATTTTTTGATGTGAGAGATGGGTGAAGGGAGGGAGAGAGGGTGAGAGACATCGATGCGAGAGAGAAACGTTGATTGGTTGCCTTCAGTACACGCCCCTGGGGACCCAATCCGCAGCCCAGGTGTATGCCCCAACTGGGGATTGAACTGGCAAGCTTTTTATGGTTCATGGGATGATACCCAACCCACTGAGCCACACCGGCTGGGGCCAGGCTGTTCTGCATGCTCAGGTTGTAGCGTCTGCCCTCCAGCCGAGCTCCCCTGAGCACTCCCCGTCCCTCAGTCCCTGCCTTTTAACACTTGGAAGATGGACTTCTTCAGGCAGCCCCCCTCCAGCACCTTCCCCAGCACCTCTTTCAGACTAGCTTGGAGAGGTCTGTCCGGCCCAAGTGCATTCGGGCCATTAGGAGGACCGAGACCCACTGCATCACGGGCCGGTAGGCTGGGCATCTGCTTCTCCCCACTGTGGTGTCTGCTTCAGGGCTGCCCCAAGGGCCCCTCGCACGTCTGTGACCACATCTGCGAAACTGTTGTGAGTGGCAGCGCCTAAGCAAGTGGGAGTCATCTGGAAACAATGAGAGCGATCAACATCTGCCTCTGTGTGTCGGGCCATGAGGGGCGGAGGGGCTCAGGTAAAAGGCCCCCTTCATCCGGGGGCACTCATTCCAGGGCCCGCTGCCCAGCTGGGGGGCACTGGCGGAGAGCCCCCTGCTGCCGGTCGTCCCGGGGCCTGCAGATGTGCCCGTCCCCCAAGGTCATGCCCTCACCGGGGTAGTCCACATCCGGGGACCGAGTGAGGCGGGAGTACGGGCCCCGGCATTCCGGCGTGGAGCAGGACAACTCTGGCAGACGCCACCTGCGGTAGCGCTCCTGGCCAGGCTGGCCGAAGCTTCGTCGGAGCTGTGTCGTGACTCAGCTTCCCCGCTGCCCAGTGCTGTCCCTGGTAAACGGCTAGTGCCCCAGCTCTGACTCCACATCTGTTTCCGGAGGACCTGACCCGTGACCCGGGGAACCACCACTGCACGTGGAGTCCGGGTCCCCTGCAGCCAGCACCTCAAGGCCGGGCCATGGGCCGTGAGTCCACAGGGAGGCCGCCCTGACTCAGCCGGTCACTGCTCCCTGCCCTCCTTCTTTGCCTGTGGGACAGAACAGAGAAAGGAATGGCTAGTGACTATTGGAAGTGATCCTAGGTATTTACTGAGGGTCCTTTCTGACCGAGGCACTCTGCTCATGTTACAGGAACCCCCCCAGCCCCGGGGCCTTCCTGAACTAGGGTTCTTCGTTCCCCACCGCCGTGTTAGGAGCCGTGGCTCTCAATGCCAGAGTTTGATAAAAAGGAAAGGGACTATTTTAGTGAGAAGTTATACAGATTTAGAATGGTGGCAGAATTCTACCATTAAATCTCCCTTTAGAAACGAAGATACACCCACAAACACACGGTCCCACCCTCCCCACTTTGCCCAGTCTGACCAGCCTCAGGGCAGGCCAGTCGGAGGGCCTGCCTTCCAGATTTCTTCCTGCAGGGTCTTGCATTGTCCCCATCCCACAGGGCAGCCACCTTTTTGTTTAAGTCCCAGGCTGGAACCTCCTCGGTAACCCCATTCCTGACTCCTCCCACAATCAGCTACACCTGCCAGCACTCCCATATTTCCCTGCCTTTCTCGGCTGCCACAGTGAGTCCAGGCAGGTGTGGCGCCATGGCGTGGAGTGAACCATCTCTGCGTGAACCATCTCCAAGCTCTCAGAGTTGCCCCAAAGGTGCTGTAATGGGGGCAGGGGAGCTGTCTCCCAGCTACATCACGGGACAAAGTCATGCCCATCTCCCCGGCTCCCAGCAGGCTATGAAGCTAGCCTGCTGTTACTGATATGCAAAATAACTCTCCAACTCTGTGCTGCTGCCTTTCCTAGTCCCCAAACTAGGCTTGTGGGGGGCCCTGGGGCCTCTCAGCCTACACCCCATTACACTAAGGGGCTCACATGCATGGTCACATTTAATCCCCACCAACAGCCCCATGGGGAAGGTCATAGTATTATCCGCATTCTGTAAGGACCTCCCCTGGCCCTGTCTGCAGAGAATTGGGGCAAGCCCGAGGCTGGGTGACGTGTGATGACCTCAGGCCCCTCCGGGCCCCGGGCCCCATCTTCTACCAGGAGGGGTGTCCAACCTGCAGCCTGTGGGCCGCATACGGCCCAGGATGGCTATGAATGTGGCTCAACACAAAACAGTAAATTTACTTAAAACCGTTGTTTTTGCTCATCAGTTTTCATTCGTGTTTGTATATTTAATGTGTGACCCAAGACAATTCTTCCAGTGTGGCCCAGAGACACCAAAAGGCTGGACACTGCTGTCCGCATGTGCCCTGACAATGGCTTCCTCCTCATCTCCAGCTGCCGTTTCCATCCTCCTGTGCCTCCTTCCTCCCCCAGCTCTCAATTCTGTGGCCACCGCGCAGGCCCCGCCAGCAATTCAGAGGCACTTTCAGCGCCCACCCCCCACCCTCGAAAATAGGAAGGCGAAAAGATCTCAGCCCACATCCTGTACTTGAGCAAATTTCCCACTGGTGGTTCAACCCAGGCAAGCTTTTATGCAACACTTCTCGGCTTATGGCTAGCCTGGAGGCCACCAAGCCTGGGCTCCCAGGAGGTGGCTCGCTCATTCGTTCATTCATTCATTCATTCATCCATTTACTCATTTATCAATGATGAACTACCAACGATGCACCTGCTGAGTGCAGGAGCTGGCTGAAGTACACAGACGAAGGACTTATTCATTCTTGCACTTGCTTATTTAACAATGACTGAGTTGGTTTGAGACAGGTCTTGAAGATCTGGGGGCAAGCAGGGAGCAGGCTTGACCTCGCATTACAAGTAGTGGAGGGAGAAGGGGCAGAGTCTATTATCAAACGACTTTACTGGAGTCCAGTCTCACACGCAAAGTCCTGAAGAAGGTACGAGAGATGTTTTCAGTCCAGGTTTAATAGTGACTTCTCATGCAAAAGGGGTTCTCAGACAAGGTGGGTGTTTGGGTGTCTTCTTACTTTGTCTCCCTCCTCCCTAGTTCATTTTGGGGGCTGGGTCTTTCTATTTAGGTTCTCTGGGTGCCTGGCAGGCCCACCCCTCTCACCGGGGAGCAAACACCTTTTCTGAACTTTCTCAGTCCCCTCTCTCCCCCTGCTGGACACTCGGCCTCCTTCACCCTTGCTCCCTGCGTCCTGCTTTTCCGAAGGGACTCTCTTTGCACCCGCCCCAGGCTGACGCATGTGGAACCAGCCCGTCTCCTCTGCCCAGAGCCACATTAACAAAGGCCCCCTTTCTTTTCTTTTTTAAAAATTGAATTTACTCAGGGGACATCAGTGTGCACAACCACACAGGTTTCAAAGTGCACGACTCAGTAAGACGTCATCTGCACACCGCACCGTGTGGCCCCAAAGCCCCTTTTCAGTATGCCAGGTTTAGCCCTGAACCAGGCCCAGAAGGCAAGGAGGGAGGCGCCATGTCTCAGGAGTGCGTGCGTGCATGTTGGGGCAAATGAGGAAAATCCATTTCCCCGTATTCAGGGTAGAATACAGGGAAATGGGTTTTCTACATTTTCTCCTTCCACCCTCCCCAGTGTTCTTCTGCTTCCTCCTTTTTTGGGTGCACTGTTTCTACGTTGAGCTGGGGAGACAGCACTGTCCCAGGACAGAAGCCCAGTGCCCAGTGCTCAGCAGGTGTGTAGGTGCCTACCAGTCACCACCAGAGGGCGCTATGTCCCCTTGGCCTCCTGGGTCCAGGCTCTTTCCCAGTCTAGGCTGTGGGTGGGACAGAGCACTCCTGGGGGGACCGCCAGGGAAGGGGTGCTGCTGAGGGGGGCCTGGACCCTGGCTTCCATCTGGACCAGTGACAGTGCCTCAGTTTCCTCACTGACTAATAAAAGCCTTCTTCATTTTTATTTCCAGCTGTGGCAGGACAGGGTTCTAAATTCCTCCTCAAGCTAATCTCTAAAGCATACTTCTGACCAAACCTTGGGTTTGTAAGTATAGCTTTCCCACCTTCTAGGATTTAGGTCCTCCTTAGGGTTTGGACCAGGGCTGGATCTTGCCTTTTGAGGACTCTGTAGATACAACATCACGGTGGCTGGGGCTGGCACTGAAATCTGGCCTTATCCACCGAGCAATGGACACCCTCCCTCCCCCTCCCACAGGGCAGTTCTCAGTCCCGACTCGGCCCCTGGACTCCCGTCGGTTACACGTGTTCACCAGGCGGGAGTTCCTGCCCCTGAGACCTGGCTGCAGGGCTAGTTTCTGACGCGTCTTCCGCGCCAGGCCCTCCCCCTCTCCTACCCCGAAGCGCGCCCCCTGCAGGAAG